TGGTAGTTGTTTGATATTATGATATCATATCTTAGTCAACAAGTTAACATACATCTCATAACATCGTCAGTTTTTTAACATAAAATGACAAGTTTGGAACATATTGAATGGTCAGGTGACCATTTTGTAACTTTTAATAGTCAAAGGGCTCAAAAAAGTAACCCATATAGTCAGATGACTATTTTGTAACTTTTAATAGTTGAATGGCTTAATAAAGCAATATTCTTTAGTCAAGGGACCATTTATATACTTTACCCTTTTTTATTGGTATTTGAATTCTTTATAACTTTTATATTTATAGTTTATATTTCTCTCATGTAAATAATCAATATTTAACTACGTTAAATATATCATCTTTTGTATCAATGGAGTTGGTTCAAGTGGTAAGTTGCTTGAGATCGCTTAAGTAAAGTCTCATGTTTGATTCTTTGTGTATGCAGAAAATTTTCGTTGGAATACACCTGCCAAAGTCAAGTGTGCGACCTGAGTATGTCTAGATTAGTCAGGGTGAAGCCTTGGAACCGGTAACAAAAAAAATTATCATTTTTCGTATGTATGATTTATTCTATATTTATTTTATGTTAATTACTTTTTTACTTACAAATTCCTAATAGTATAGATATCAATCTTCACCATTTGTTTCTATTATGTTGTCTATTGTTTTTTTTTCAATGTAGTCTATTGTATATAAAGAGTTTTACCTTTATAACATCAAAGGAAATATTCAGTTCACGAAATGTAATATTTTTATAGGAATGATATTTTCGAAATTAAAAGTTAGTCTAGACGTTATTAAAATATTATATTTATAATATTTATATTATTTGATTTATGTGATCAAAATATAAAATTATTTTGTTTGTTTGTTTATAAAATTATATAAAAACATATTTTTAATAAATTATCATTATAATAAGTTTTTTTTAAAAATAAAGTTAACCTTTATCAGTTCAATTATTTGTCATAGTATTTCTCTTATATTACATCCTCGTTTAATAAAAGATAGATTGAAGAGTGATGGCCGATGGGGGGTACTATCGCGATTATGAAAATTTTTAATTTTAATATTGTTTAGGTATTTTTCTAATTTTGTATCTCAAAATTTTATAATTTAGTACCTCAAATTTTTAATATAAATTATTAAATCCACACTCTAACATAAATTAATCTATGTTAGATGAAAATCATTAATTAACTAATAGTTAACGTATATTAAAGACGTGATATTTGCACGAATTAACGTATCTCAGTGGTTAAAGAATTGTTATTGTTCCTAGAGGTCATGTGTTCGAGCAATAACGACTACAGTAGGGTGTTTGAGCGTTCATTGTCAGATGAATATATTATTTTGTAATCACATTTGCTTAATTAAAAAAAATTATTGACGTGAAATTTTATAAAAGGTAACTTTTTAAAAAAAAATTAAAAATAAATACAACAAATGATAATCATTTAATTTGATTTGTGAGTTAAAAAATCTTCCCCGCCAATATAATAAAAACGGCATTAATAGTATATTCTCTATATATATACCCAAAGCATGCGAAGGCAACTAAAGTGGTGGCAAAATGATGCCATTAATGTCATGATCGATATGATAAGAGTTTTTGCCTTTTTGTCATTCAAGTTGGGTCCAATGCCATGCCACTAGCCATATTCACATTGGTGTGCCTTTCAACTTTTTCATATCCAAAATGATAAGAAGATTTGATTTTGGGTTACTTTATCCATGGAATATTTCAACTTTAAAAAAAATTCAAAAGGAATTAATTATAAATAGGACTACCGAGAGAGTTTATATCCGTCGAACAAGTCGGAGTTCGAATCCTAACGTTATAAATAGATAATATTAGACTACGAACAGGAACAGGAACAGACTCATGATTTTATGTTAATGGACGAACTTATAAAATTCTGGAGAGCCGAAATCAGATTATCAATAGAAAATACAAAAAAAAAATCTAAAATATATGATCATTTAAAATTTTTAGAGGAGTTGTTGGACATCCCTAACAATGAAGGTCACTTTAATAATGAACTTTTACATTATATTATCTGAATTAGTTGATCGATAAATCAAATGCTGATGATTATAAAAAATTCCAAAAATAAAAAAAGAGCAAATAAAAGTGGAAAATATTGGATTTCATTATATGGCTTTATTAGGGTTTTGTTGGCCACCGGTTTGAAGCTTTACTAGTTTTTTGCGACATTTTTCAGCGAAGTATAAAGCCTAAAGCGTGTTGCTTAAGAGACATACATATATGCTGTCAATTTATTCTTTCAACTACTTGTTTTGAAAAAATGGAAAATGGAAAAAATACACAAAACCCCCTTAGACTTGATGAAAATTTTACTTACCCTTATGATCGAGAAATATTTATTGAAAAATACAATAACCCTCCATTTAAATACTAAAACACTACCTAACACCTATTAGTATTTATCTATAGATTTTCTATTTACCTTTCCCTTTTTATATTTTAATTAAAAAAAGATAAAATTTGACTATTTTGAAATTATATTAAAGCATGTAAAGTAAAATTCTAGTTCAATTATGTTTGACTTTAATTGATATCTAAACTTATTTCATGGTTAAAATTAATTTAAATGGGTCATTTACCATAAATACCATTTTAAAAAAAGAATGAAATTACACTTAATTACTTAACTAAGAAAAAAACTTTAAATAACATAATAAACCTTCAAATCATGTTTAAATACCTAATTAAATAAATTTTATTTTTTAAAATCATACATAATGTTTGGTTTATGTTTCATTTGGGTATCTCATCCTTAAAAACTTAACGTTGATATTGACGTGTCACCATAAAGTAATGTTACATCATCATTGAAAAATAAAAAAATGTCACACAACAGCTCAGTTAAGTTTTAACGGTGGGATACTAAAATAAAATATAAATTAAATGTTAGGTATGCCTTTGAAAAAAATTAGGTCCAAAATGAAACAAAAATAATAGTTTAAGTATTAAACTTGTAGTTTACCCAAATATTTATTATTGGCCGATCGAAAGTAGATGATTAAGGAAATTTACATGTAGGTAATTATTATTTGTCTTAGCAAATCATTGTAATAAAAGCCCTTCACGTGATTATTTAACCTTGATGTTCCTTTTGCATCTGTGCTCTTTCCGTCAGTAAAAGTTCGGAAAGTTGTCGGCAAAAAAGCCAGTTGGGATTGGGAGTTGAACCCCGTTAGAACTTATGTAGTTGAAAATTTTAAAGGTATAATCATTTTTTGGTCCTCAAATTTTAATTCTTTCTCAAATTGACCCAAACGTGATAAAAAAAATAATAGACAACTACATTGATGTCAATTATTTTATCTTTTATCATATCCTAAAAATTATTAAAGATTTAAAAAGAAAAAAAAACAAATGTCAATGTTTTGATAAGGATACTATAATTGTTTGGTCTTTCTTTATAAAAAATTGTGATGATACGAGAGAATAAGATAAAATAGCTAACGTTAGTTTAAAGATGTTGTTTTGTCATGTTTGAATTAACTTATATAAAATAAAACTTTGAGGGCAATAAGACACAATAAAAATTTAAGGATTAAAACTTACAAAGGGTAAATTACATATTTAGTACCTAAACTATCAATTTTGATCTGTTTTAATAACTAAACTTTTAATTTTTAAAAAATAATCATACATATTGTTTAATTTTCATTTCATTTTAGTATTCTGCTAATAAAAACTTAATGCATTATTACCTAAACTATCAGTTTTGGTCCATTTCATTACCTAAACTTTCATTTTTTTCAAAATTAACATTAAATTTTGAATGGAGTACTAAAATGAAACAAAAACTTTTAACGTCGGAGTACTAAAATGAAACAAAAAACTAAACTTTATGTATGACTTTGAAAAAATATAAAGTTTAGGTAGTAAAATGGATTAAACTTATAGTTTAGATACTAAAAGCGTAATTTACCCTCTAAAAATAATATATTGGCTAAAGTGAAGATAATGTAAATGAAACACAAAAGGTCCACTTAGCACCAAGCCACCCGCATATTGGTATAAAGCGGAAGATGATTCCAATCTATTTTATAAAGGCAAAGTTGATGCTATAAGTAGAATCGTCCACGCCATTCCATCTCTAATAATGAAAATGACATATTAAAATTAGTTTTAAGTTATTTTTATTAAATTTTAGATTTTTTAAGAATTATTTTATATTTTTAAATAATTTTTATTCTTTTTAGAAATTTGAATGCTTTTTACACGCAATGAAAATTTGATTGTGTCATGTCATCATTTTTCCCCTACGAAAACCGTCCTAGGGCTAACTGATAGCATAATTGAAAGTTGAACCTCAAACTGGAAAAATAGTAGAAGGGTTAAAATAAAAATTTAACTATAATACAAGAGCTAAAGTAGGCATTAACCCAAAATCATCAAAGCATGAACCATGTGACTTAAAGAATTGTTGTTAATTATTAAAATTTTAGATTCAAACATCATATATATACATATATATATATATATGGGTATAAATGTTCATTCATCGTTTTAAACCCGGAAAACATCAACAAAGGTCCCCTAAATGTAAATGGTGGGTTAAATGGACCATCTACACCATGTGAACCCATAGGTGCCATGCCAGGTTTGAATACAACTAGGGCCCATCAAACCAATGGCTCTCATGATTCTTCCCCCATCATCATGATTTTCCAAGCATCCTCTCAACATCACACATGGTTTGCCTCATCATCATGCACTCTCCTTCGGATAGAAAATTTTATGTCAAGGGTGTGAATCTAAAAAATTATATCAGAAATTTAATGGTGCGAAATTACAAAATTTCAAAGGAAATTAAATCATCAATAAAAAAGATACATAAACTACGTGAGAACTAAAAATTTTCAGGGTTGTCATCGCATCCCAATACCCCTTTGTCCATCCATACTTCTCTTGCTGAATTTTTTATAAATATAAAATAATTTGTAATCTAAAAATAAAATGAAAATAGTAAAATTCGAATCTCATCAAGTTGTGTTGACATGCACCAACCTAACATGTTGCCCCTTTAATATAAATGCAATGAATGGACCAACAATGAGCTTTGCTACTTACTAAAGCAAGCTAGGTTTTAAAGGTTTTGGCTTCTTTCAAAGTAGTTATGGAGAAGAGCAAGTCCTTCCCTCAATATTCCTCGTCTTTCTCGGGCGAGTTCGACTTCGAGAACAGATCGAATTCGTATAACTTCAATGGGCCGTGTGGCAAGAGTAACGGATTCGCGGCGTCGAACAATCCCGAGCTCAAGAGGAAGAAGAGGATCGCGTCGTACAACGTGTTTGCGATGGAAGGTAAATTGAAGTCGAGCGTTAGGAACAGCTTCAAGTGGATCAAGAGCAAGTTCAGCGACGCACGTTATGGTATGTGAGTTTGCATAAAAGGAAAGCAAAGATGTTTAATTTTACACTTTGGTCCTTATATTTGTACACAGTGTGTGCCATGGTTTAATTTTTGTTTGGAAATTGGAGAAGGGGGAAGGAAAATCCAATCAAATTGGAAGTGCAGGATAGCCTTTCATGGGAATTATTGCAAGTTTGGTCCTTAGGGTTGTCTTGTAATATGTTTTTGGTAAAAAAAACTGTTAAATTGTCTTTCTTAAATTGTGTTTAACTTAACTAACTTGGGCATCATTGAATTGTTATTGTTAGAAAGTAAATTTTTCATTGTTTCACTTTAAAAAAACTCAAATATTTTAAGGGTTTAAAGTAATTTCACTTTTTTTTAATCGAGGCTACAACAATCGTTAATTAAAAGAAGGCTTAATACTAAAATTAAAATTATATATATTTTTAAAACAAGAAAATATAAATTTTAAAATAAACCTAAAACTTTGAAAACCTTCATTTTAACCCCTAAACCTATGCCAACCATGGCCTTTTATCGTCGACGAAGCTTCACCTGACGGCCTCTTCTCCCTTAGTCGACCAAAACCCTATTAAATCGTGATCGATCGATGATGAATTGATGTTTTATACTATGCGAACCCTAGGTTGAAAATTGAGAGCCCAAGCGATTTCGACGGTCAATCGGCAACAACTACGATGGCGTATGACTAGAAGGATGGCAGGGGCTATGTCAGCGGTGGTTGTTGTGGGCGGAAAGGGCAACAGAGACGGGTTAAGTTTAGGATTTGGATATTTTAGGGATTTGAGGGATATTTTATAATTTAAGAGAAAATTAGGATTTTTGTAAATATAATAATATTTAATTTATCTTTAAAAAAGTAAATATAAAAATCACCAGATTATGACATGTGTCATTTAACGGGAAAAATTAACGTCGTTAACTACCCAGACACCTAAATGGGTAATGTTTGTAATGTTAGCCACGTGGAGGAGTAAAAAATAGTTTAGTCACCTATTTCGGAAAAGCAATATAATTTGGATACTTATTTTGGTATTAAACCTTAAAAGAAATATGTCCCACACTGATTGAATATAGACTTTTTAAAATTTTAAATATAACCATTTTGAATTATTTTCATGAAGTGACTAGAGATAAAAGTTAAATATATGCATGTTGTTATTGTAGTAAATACGGTTGTAAATGAGACGAGACAGATTGTAAGTTATTAGAGATCGATTCGGTCAAAGTTTAATAAACACTCAACTCGAATGGACTCGACTCGAGTTTTTAATGAGCCGAAATGAGCTACTTGATACTCGACTCGAAAAGCTCTTGAGCAACTTGAAATTATAATATATTAAGATTTCATTTTAAAAAATAAATTATTAATATTATTAAAATTTATGTGTTGTTTTTTTAAAAAATATATAGTGTAAGGTTTTCATGTATTTAAGATCCAGGTTCAAGTTTGAGTTTGAAGCCTTAATCGAGTTAAGTTTAAGATTTTTTTTTTCATTCCGAGCCTTTTTGAGCTCTTACAATCTTCAGTTCATGATTTTGAGTTCGAGTCGAACTTAAAAATTTTAGACTCGTAAATTTCCGAGTCGAGTAAAACTCTATTTTAGAGTTTTTGAATCGAATCGAACTCGACTAAACTCATTTACAATCATGTTTACTTGATTTATATTTTTGTTAAGTAATACGTCCGTGGTGTAACTATTTTAGATTGTTATTTTATTTTTATCAAACCAGGTAAAAAGAGAGCCATTTAAATTTCATATTTTTCGGTTACAATTTAAATTTCATATTTTTAGTTAGGTATACAAATTTATGTGTAAATCTTCAAGGATAACACTTATTTTCATAATTATAATGATCGAGACTAAATTATTTTTAAGATAATATTTTTTTAAGACGACACAATAAACCTATCTTATCTCCTCTAATTATTCTTATAGTCATTGCCAGTGTTTTCTTTTGCAGCAAAATTATTTCCATCAATAACATCTCATTAACATACCTTCAAAATGAGAAGTTAAATTTTTTAAGGTAAAGTACACAAATAGTTTCTTGACTATATTATTAAGTCTTTTGATTATTAATTACAAAATGATCTTTCGACTATAAAAGGTTATTTTACTAAGTCTCTTAACTATTAAAAGTTACAAATTGGTCACCAATCTATTCATTATGTTCCAAATTCGTCCTTTTCCGTTAAAAATTTGACGATTGTCTAAGCTGATTATTAACATAATGAGTGGGATATGATTGTCGTTTGAGATTATGAGATTCGATTTTATCATATTACAGTTAGCATATTAAAATTTACCTCATAATGAATAGTCGAATGATCATTTTATAACTTTTAATAGCCAAGAGACTTAACAAAGTAACATTTTATATTCAGAAGACTATTTTATAACTTTTAATAATCGAGGGACTTAATAAAGTAATATCTTATAATCATGACAATTTATATACTTTATCCAACTTTTTAAAGCTTTAATTAAAATTTATAACACGACATCAAATAATTTATTTGTCTTAAGTTTTCTAGTTTCCTCTCTGTTTTTTTTTTTTCTTTTTCTTTTATTTCTGTATGTTTCTTACTTCGAAAAGAACAATTATTTCATCTTCTTATTTGTGGGTACACAAAATCTCTTTCGTGAATGTGTAAAATTAGAAGTATTGTGTTAACCTTGAGAGACGACTTTAGTTTTTCCAACTATACTAATTAAGATAAATTCATTTCTAAAATAATAATTTACCACGACGCAATAGCATATATTTTGAGATGGGGTTGAAATAAAGATCATATGCATGTGGCAACCTTATAAAGATGCATATTAGTATGTTGGATAATAGAACCTTTGCGGTCTTGAGATCCATTGTTTGAATGGAACTTCTTAATTATAGGGGTTTTTAAATCCGAGTACATGGTTTTCGGGTACACGAGTCCTTGGATACTTGATTGGTCGGCTCGTGTCTCGATTTGAATGTTGTGGGTACCTGATAATCGGGTACCTCTAATTTTAGTAATTGGTTTTTTTATTATTATTTTTAAATTATTAATTTAAAAAAAATATACACAAATTTAAATGTTTGAATTACATACTCCAACATCTAAATATAGAATTTAAAAATGGTTTTTTTCACATGGAATTTTTTAATTTTATTAGTTTAATTTAATATATAAAATTATTAATAATTAAATATGTAATATTATTATATAAAAAAATAAATGTAACCGGGTACGCGGATAATCGGATACCCAAAAAAATTTAATTTCGTGACCCGGGCCTGACCTGAAACTTGAATCTTTTAAAAAAAACCCAAATTTTTTTATGGGTTCGACGGATCAAGTCATCCAGATAGGTTATTTTTAAACAGCCGTACTTAATTAATTGATGAGTCTTGTAGTTACCTGAAAACACATCTAGAAGATCAAAGTGAAAAGATCTCTTAAACGAAATGAAACATTAACTCCATTAATCACATCTTTAGAAGTTTGTAAAGTAGGTTAATGAAGTTGTTTCTAGGACTGAACGTATGAATTTATGTTAGGGAAAGAATTTGAATTTATAAAATTTTAAGGGGACGAAAGTAAATTTTTAATAGAAAATATATAGAAAAAATTTAAAATACATGATAATTTTAAATTTTTAAGGAGTCGGCTACCTCCCCTGCCCTTGCGTAGGTCCATCTTAATTGTTTCGGCGAAGTGTTTTAGGTCAGTAATAAATAGGAAATCGTTAGAGCCATAAACTAGTTATGCAAGAGTGCACCTTTCAATGGATCCTACGAGATGGCAATCGACCGGCTGACACTTCAGCGGAACTTTCGAGCCCCTTGATTTCTTTTACAACAATATTCACGGAGCTCTCCATTGGATTTTTTTTTTTTTGAAGCTAAGAAATAATAAGTGACCGTGTAAAATGGAAGATTACATTGGCTCGGCTCCTTATTGGCCTTGAATTACATACTAAACAGGCAAGCAAATTAAACACTAAGAAATTTGAAACCTATTGCTTCATCCTCATTCAACTCCAACTTCCTAAACTGTGTAATGCTGCTGGATTGTATCAATGTCCAGCCCCTCCAGCTTCACCACTGACTCCAAATGCCCTTTCAGTGTGTGAAGCTCACGAAGCCTTGAAACCTCGGCTCGCCTCTTGGCCTGCTCTGCAATCTCAGACAACTTTCTATAGCTGTTCTTGTCATGGAAGATGTTAGTAGCTTCTGGTGGTTGAAGCCCATGTAGTGTCCTTTGAGCAAGTGCCCATTGAGCTTCCCTCTCTTCCTTTTGATAATCTTTCTTGGTGGTCAATGCGGTCTTGTTTTCTAGCAAGTTGAGCCAAGCTTTTCCACTTAAGATGTAACGAATGGCAAACTTCATTAGATCAAGTGGGATGTAGAAAACAACACTGTAAAGCCATATGAGCCCATCCCTATCCTATTCCTTGAATCCTTGCTGTTAGGATCGAGTCATTCAATTTTCGAACAACAAGTGCCGGTTCAAGCTCGTTTAGCTACAGAATTCTGAAGCGAATGGTCACCATTCCTTCTTAAAATCAATTGGTGATAATTAGGTATGTCAATTCAACCTCATATCTTTGTAGTGGTGATCACTAGTTTCCCCCAAGCTAAGGTGGATTCTTGTGGGGCACCCCCCATAGTTTACCACGGCATTGCAGAGCCCCGCATCTATAGCGTACTGGGGGCGGGCTTAGGGGCTTCGCAAGGCACACATGGGCCTTGGCAGGTTGGGCTGTCAAGCACCTAATATCACGCCCATACACGATAGAATCCCTAAGGCCCCATTTGGTTCACGGTAAATTTTATTCCTGGAAGGAATGTTTTTTCCCGAATTAATATACCCACGTTTGGATGGGCGTCATTACCAAGTGCTGGTAAAAAACTAATACCAACAGTGATTTTTTTTACTATTTTCCCGAGAATACTAATCCCTCATCTCCCTTAGGTATTTGCTCATTCCCGTCCCCATTGTCTAAAATAGTCTTCTCCCCACTTCGTGGTTTTACCAGTAAGATTTCCCCTTGTAAGATTTCTCCTCCACTCTCTTTCTTTTATTTTCCCAGTAATGTTACTTGGTTTCCATATTTTGTGGTTTTTTTTCTGTTAACGAAAACCTCTTGAATCTTTTCCTAATGTTGGGTTTGATTCCTATTTTTTACCTCCTATTTTGCATTTGATTCCTATTTTCGACCTCCT